TGTATCAAATACTTATTTCACACAATAAAATGAAAATTAATTATTTAAAAATCATACATTGTATTTTTCTGGATTTTTGTTTTAGATTCCATCACTCACAGTTGAAGAGTACCTATGATAAAAATTACAGCCATCTACAAGCTTTGCAAGTGGGAAAACCTGAAAAATCAACAGTGTATCAAATACTTGATCTCCCCACTGTAAAAGCAGAAACCAGGCTTAAGATATTAGCAATGGCTGCACTCAAACCCTAATCTACATAACGTCGAAAATTAAAGTAACTTTGTTCACATATTAACATCAGCTCTCAATGAGATGCCTCTAAATGAGACAAATGCAATGATCAGGGAGTAAAATAAAAAATAGCAACTTTTTTTTATTATTGTAATCTTCCTTTCTCTAGTTTAGTCTTTAAAAGTTTTCTCGTTTTATTTTGCAACAGACAAACCAAAGAACGAACCACAGACATTTAGTTTCATTATATTTTTCTCTTCTATAAAACGTATTTTTACCTTGTCGTACCAGCAGCGGATGCTCAGCTGACCACAGAGACAGTTACTCGATGAGCAGTCGTCGGTGCAGCTACAATGCTAAGAACAAAACAAAAGACAGGTTTTTCAGAATAAAACTCACAAAATGACGAGATAAAACAGGGCCCATGAAACTCAAATAAAACACCTGTAAGTGAGTGAAATTCCGGTCTATGTTCATCGCTGAAGTTTCACAGTTTTCTGAGACYTATTTGTAATCTGAGGGGCAGCCTTCGTCGTCCACGGCGTTCACACAGGGGATGGGGATGTTCTCGTAGCCCTGAGCCACGTCGCTGAAAACACAAACCGGAACGTTGGATTCTGGCTCAGAGAAAACCAGGAGGGGGAAAAAAACTGCTTAAACATACATGCAGATGATCCTTTCTGTCCGAATCAGACGATTGGTTATTCCTCGCCGCAGCCTCCGGTTGATCTGAAGCGAGACCCACACCGGAGTGTCGGCCCTCGCCAGGCTGAGGGGCGTGTCTCCCTCTCTGTTCACCACGTCGATATCTGCTCCCCTCGACAGAAACAACCTGCAGGAAGATGACCAAACACTTAAAAAACAAACGGCGTAAACGCCGACTCAGCGGTCACACACGGGTAACTCACGTGACGCAGTCCAAGAAGCCCTCTCTGGCAGCGATGTGGAGCGGCGTGTCTCCGTGCACGTTAACCGAGGAGAGCGAACAGCCGGCGTTCAACACCAGCTCCGCTATGTCCACGTTTCCTGCGTACGCCGCCCAGTGGAGGCAAACGTTCAGCTCCTGCAGGAAAAACAGAAGAAACTATGGAATAAATCTTGTGCCAGCAGGAACTGAATTTGAATTGCTCAGATTGAATCTGAATGTACATAATTTGAAATTGAATGCATTGGTTTGAAAATCAATTTTAATGAAATGAAATTGAATTTAATTTTTTTGAATTTGAATTAATTTGCTTTGAAACTGTATATTCATTAAAAATTCAGTTTGACTACTTTCACTTTCTAAAATTCAGATTTTTGTCTCACATCCTGGTCCTTGAGAAAGCCAGGCAGAGTAATCAAACACAGATGGATCACATACTGATCAGATGCTGCTGACTGATCCATGATGTGATGTAAATGTAACTGTTATGGCAATATTTATTTAACAACAGAGACAGAAATACGTTGGTCAAGAATGAAGGTACTCCGTGAGATGATCAGCTGAGTTTTATTGCAACA